GCTGGTCCACACAAGCTGAGGGTAGAGCCTGGCCTGTTTTGAATATTATCTGTTTATTTGTATGGTCTTTTGTAGTGTAATGACTGCTTTAATTGCATGTGTTTGACAAAACCAGAAAGGGAGTGAGGTTTATTATTGTTTTGATACAGTCTTAAAGAGAAGCTTTTTACTAGCATTTTAATACAGCCCTTTGTAAACACTCAGCAAAGAAAAATGCTGAATCCAATCCTTTTGCTAGTGCAGTCACTGAGTTTCCTGTGGCTTTAGTAGGAGCTGGACTGGGTTCAGTGTATGTGGTACACTCCAGCATTACTGATAACGAGTTAATGTGTTTTATATATTGATGCTTTTTGCTGAACAGTGCATCGGCTTTTTATGATTTGGTGAAATATAAAAATAAATTATTTGAAAATCAATGTTTCTGTGCCTGTTCTTTGAAGGTGAGTTTAAATTGTTACAATATAAGGTAAAAAAAAATGTTCTCAAAGTCAGTGGTAGAGTCTTTGTTCTCATTCCCCAGCTTCCCCATGCCACAGCTGGTGTAGTTAAAGGTATGCCCAGCCATCCTCAGCTGCCTGATCCTTTTGGTATCCTCTTCCAGCAGTTCACCCTAATGCCACTGGGGACAAGGAGAAAATGGCCCTGTGTCCACACGCAGCTGGTTTGTTACCAAATGTAGGGTGACACCACAGGCTGCATGGACAGGCCATTTTTCTAAATGCCAGCTGGTTCATTTTCTTCGTGTAGCATCAGTATTTCTCTTCAGAAATGAGCATAAAGGTTCTCAACAGCTATCTTGGAGCAAAGAATTAATAAGAAACACTATTATCGTCTAGGTTCCTGAGTTATTCCTTGGGGGCAGCTGGTAATACCCTTTTTATAGTCACAAGCTTCCAGCTCTTCTGCTTGCTTCTAAGTGGCAAAAGGCAGAAATGACAATTACAATTGCTGCTATGGGCTCATTTTCAGACTATCAGGGTTGGAGACATGAAGGGAAGGAAGGGGACTTGAGCCAATCTTTGGAACTGCCTTTCACTGGTGCTAATGCTGAGTGCATCAAAAGGTTAATGCAAAACCATCCAGTGTCATCTCTCTATGTCTTTTTCTATCTCCTCTAATCATATGGGTATGGACACTCCTGCTGCTGCTATCAGGTGCTGTCCATGTGCCTGAAGAGGGTGTTGGCAGCTGCCCTCCATCCGTTCACACTGCAGGAATGTGCTGAACACTGTCAAAACAACACTTACCCTTCTGTTGTGGTCTGCTTATTTCTGCTGTGTGTTGGTTACATACTCACTGCATCAGGGAATTTAAGCAGCACTTCTACCCTTAGGGGCTGCCATTAGTCCATTGTCATGCACAGAGCTGCTGCTCTCCCCTTTGCCTCCTGCCACCCCAGACACTGCTCCTGGGATGCTCCTACCCACTGGCTGCTTCAAAAACTGTACCGCGTCCTGTCCTGCATCCCTCCCTCTTTCAGACCTTTATATCTAAAACACAGCCATTTCCAAGTTTCATTATGCAATTGCCCAGAGCTGGTTGGCTGCAGCACTTTTGGCTTCTGAAGCAATTCACCAAGTGGCCTCCAGTGTGAATTCAGGTGAGCATCTCCACTTTGTGCAATAAATTATGTACTCGCTCTCCTTTTTACCCCTCTTGGAAAATTCTCAGGAGTTGTACTGAAGGCAAATATTGCCCAGCATGGCCAGCAAGGGGATTATTACCCAACACAGATGATTTAATGTAACTTTAGAGATCCAAACTCATAAAGGTGTCACACCCAGGAGAAACACTGTTGAACGAGAATAAGGAGAAATCACATCCAGCTCATGGTGGTGAAGATAAAGCTGTGATGGCTAAAAAATGAAGGGGCAGAGAGGGAAAAGTGGTTGTGGGTGTTTAAGCAGTATGGATGAATGGAAAAAGCAGTTCAGTGTGAGAAGGAAATAAAAGAAGTAAGTCCACAGTGAAATTGTGCAGCAGCAAAGAAATGCAGGCCCAGGAGCTGGAATTTTTTCTCCTATTCCCAGTCATGTTATTCACCCACTTCATTCACTCTCACATGCAATGGCTTTCTTAGCTTCAGTTACAAGCTGCCACTGCTCTGCCAGAAATAGGTTTTAGCCTTTATTTATTTCAAATCTTCTGGCTTGGAGGCAATTTTGATTTGCCTTTCTGCTGCCTGCCAAGTATCTGACTGACCACAGTAAACAATTCTGACCCAGGAGACCTTGTAAAGCCATGGTGAGACCTCAGCAGTGGTCTCAAGATAACTCGAGTGCTGCCTTTTCCCATGCCCAAAACACTCCCAAACACAGCCAACACAAAGGCCAAAAATAGCTGTTCCTCTGCTAAATATCCTTAACAGCCCAGATGTGATAGCAGTTCTCACTCACACCAATAAATTGTGCCCCAAGAAGAGGAATGTGGACATTTTCCTTTTATAGCAGGCTCAGTGTGAAGGTGGTCCTCTGTCCATCCCCTGGGAGCTGTGCAGGAGGCTGAGCATGTCTGGTCTTCACACCACCTCCACATTTCCCTCACAGTCCTAAGAGGAATCAGCCCAGAGACCAAAAAGAAACACCACTGATTTGCCAAAAAGTCTCAACCTGGACATTAAAATGATCACGAACATTTGAAATACGCAAACAGAAATCAAAATTACCCCGTTGCCCCAAGCAGGTACCAATCTAAACCTTTTCCCCAGAGATTCACCAGCACACAGATTTAAAACCATTCTTCTTTATTGCCTAAAGAGCAGGGCTGAGGCAGGGGAGAAGGGAGGGAAGCAGTGCTGGAGTCACCCTCTGAGCTGGGGTTCCTGAGTGATCTGCACACAGCCCCTGAGCCCAGCCCTGCTCCTGCTGCTTCCCAGGCCGGCTCCTGCCCAGTGCCTGCCTGAGGCTTTCACAGCTCAGGACAGGCAGAAGAGGAGCCACTGAAGGCACTTCTTTCTGTCTTGGGCTGCAATTTTTCTAACTTGTTTTCAGTCAAGCCGCTTCCTCCTCCTGAGAGAAGATTGCACATTGTGTTCCTGTTTATCCTCTCCTGGTTTAAGTTCTTGGGCTGCTTGGGAGAAGGTTGCTGGGGCAGATGTATGACCCTCTTTTTAAAAAAACAATTAGAAATAAAGCACCATTTTTTTCTTTTTGATGGTTGCAATGACAGGGGGAATATAAACCAAGGTCTTGCAGACATCTCTTAATCTTCTCTGCAGTGTTTTTCCCCCTCTT